ATACCCTGTATTTTTTTGAAAGGTATTTTCTAAATTAAAGAGTATTTTAGTCTCGTATTTTTGACGTATTATTTAAATTAATTATTTTCCTAAAGAGTATTTTAGTTTTGGAGCCAAAATGATATTTAAATTTTGGCGCCTAAATCATTATTTTACAAAACTAATTAAATTGGATAATCCAATAAATGAAACTATTTTATACTTATGTTATAAATAGTATTTCTCAAAATTAAATAGCTAAACAAAAATTATATTAATTCGGTAGATTAATTAAATTGTATTTTCGGTTTTCATAGAATTAAAATCTAAATTGTTTTAATATCTTTCCAAATTAATTATTTTCATGAAATATATTTTTAAAGAATTAATTTTCAGATTTTATATAATAAAAATCTGATTTAATTAATTATTATAAGTCAAATTTTCGGCCACCCCAATTATTTAATAAAAATCTGATTTTATTCTTTCAAGTATTAATTTTCACAAAATAAATTTTATTGGATTATTAATTTTAAGAAAAAAAATTATTTTACAAAATCCATAAATTAACATAGAGGGACCGAAATTATTGAGCAATATTAAGCTCAATATTTTCGGCCACTCATGAATTTTCTAAATGATTTTAATTTATTTTATTAAAAATAAAAATCCTTTAAAATTCCTTATTTCTACTCTTAAATCTAAAATTTATTTGATCTTATTCTATACTTGCACTCCAAGCTCAAAACCTACTAAACAAAATTTCATGATCAGATAAATTCTAATATCCTTCCATACATTTAAAACCCTAATTTCTATTCTTTAAAATTTCCATAAATTATACAACCCTAAATTGCTATAAACTCATCACCTAAACACCTATAAATACCCCCTCATACCTCTCATATTCTTCACACCAAAAAACAATTCCCTTCTTTTCTTTTACTCTTCTTTTCCCTCAAACTTTTCCTATTTTTCTTTTCCTCTTTTCTAAAAGAAAATCTGCCCGTATATCTTTGGAGCCAGTTTTATAGTCCATGCACATTAGATTTAGGTTTATGTCTAAAGATGTTGTGATAACCGTATGGTTATGTTAATTGCAAGGTGTATTCGTGATTGAACTTTGAAAGTGCGAAGTGTTGATTGATATTCGGAATTAAGGTACGTTATGTGGTTTGATACCTTCGAAAGTTGTCCATGAAATTGTATCTTATTATGTTCCTTATAAAATTATGCTTCATGTTGGTTTGAATTAATGATTTTTGGTTAATCAAAATAGACTTTGAATTATGATTAAAATTATTAAAATTGATTTACAGGTTTCTTAATATTCAAGAATGATGGATTTTTTTAAAAGGTGCTTTTAAGTAAATCAATCGATATGGTTATGAATCCCACTTAGGGAATGGATTAGAGAAGACTATGGACTTTGCATGACCTAATCTTTCCTCAAGATTGGCCTTTGTTCATAAAGTAAACCACTTGGGGGGTGTGCACACTTAGTGAGGAAATGATTTTGGAACGTAATCGACTGAGTTTTAAAATTGTCTTGAAAGCATTGAATTGGAAAAGCTCTTACATGAGTATGGCATTGGAATTCTTTGAATTAAATTTAAATAATTTAAATTATGTTTACTTATCTTACACATAATCTACTTAGCATAATTTGCTAATACGTAATTTTGTTTTGGCTTTGCCCTGTTTACCATTTATGGTAAGCAGGTGAACTTTTCAGGTGGAAGTTAATTAATGCATGCGGGAGTCCACGGGAATTTCACCTAGCTTAGGAAAAGTTTGACTTTGTTTTGTGTCAAAAATTAAGAACAAGTTTATTTAAAGTTTTATTAATAAGAATAAAGAATTTTCCGCCGCAAAAGTATTTTTAAAATATAAGCCTTGCGTTATCACGCGGCGGTAATACGCCCAAGTCTATTTCTACGTTATTTATACGTATTTTCTACATATTCCGTAGAGGGAGATTTGGGGGTGTTACAAGGAGAGAAGAGAGGAGAGAGAAAGAGAAGGGAGGCGGGGAGAGAGAAAGGAGTGTATGGGTCTTCCTCCTCGTTGTATGATACGCCTACGTCTTCAAAGCGGGGCTTGGGTTTACATCCATGTCAGCGGTCTCACTATGTACATTTACTGGGACGACTCGTTTAACTTCTTCATATGAAGAAGTAGAGGAAATCGTCTGTCTTTGGTAGGTTTTTCTAGCAGTCTTCTTAACTCTGGCCATTTTCCTCTACATAGGACTGGAAGAGGAAATTGGCGTCTTATTTTCTAAAGAATTATAAATGACTGACTCTTGGGTGCCAATCGAGCCGGCAGATGTTGGCCTAGGCATCAGGAGGCCCCCAACACTTAAGTTATGCAAATTTGAATTCGAAGCGTGTGATGAGGTCGACATTATTTAAATACAGCAAAAAGAATGAAGTATTAAGTGCAAAGAAAAGAAGTATACTTGGTCAAGTTCCGAAGTGAGACCCCGAAGTTTGAGACTGAAAAAACAGATGCCGCTTCATCAACGAGCTTTGAAACTTAGAAAAAATGATGCTTTCTCTCTCTATCTAGGTTATACTTATAGATAGCTGCTACTATAACTGCTGCTATAACTGCTATAACCGCTATAACTTCCATAGCGGGAATTTCAAATTTTGAAATTTGAAGTTTGAATTGAATTTTCTTCATCTCAGTTGGCCGCTCTATTACCTGAATAAATTCAGAGACTGAAATCATAGCTTCAGTTAGCCGCTTCAGTTGGCCGCTCTACTACCTGAATAATTTTAGAGACTGAAATCATAGCTTCAGTTGGCCGCTCTACTACCTGAATAATTTCAGAGACTGAAATCGTAGCTTCAGTTGGCCGCCTCAGTTGCCGCTTTACCACCTGAATAATTTCATAGACTGAAAATCGTAGCTTCAGTTGGCCGCCTCAGTTGGTCGCTACTGAAAATCGTAGCCTCAGTTGGTAGCCTCAGTTGGCCGCCTCAGTTGGCCGCTTTACCACCTGAATAATTTCAGAGACTGAAAATCGTAGCTTCAGTTGGCCGCCTCAGTTGGTCGCTTCTGAAAATCGTAGCCTCAGTTGGCCGCCTCAGTTGGCCGCTTTACCACCTGAATAATTTCAGAGACTGAAAATCGTAGCTTCAGTTGGCTGCCTCAGTTGGTCGCTTTACCACCTGAATAATTTCAGAGACTGAAAATCGTAGCCTCAGTTGGCCGCTTTACCACCTGAATAATTTCAGAGACTGAAAAACGCCGCCTCATTTGGCCTCCTCAGTTGGCCGCCTTACAACCTAAGAAAACTCAGAGGTTACATGGCCGCCTCACTATGCCGCCTCAACATAGACAACTGGAATACCTAGGTAATTGGTCCTTGACCTAAGCGGCATGCCATGCCGCCTCACTATAGCGAGGTGTCAAACCCGACTCAAAAGGTTTGAGCATGTTTGAGGGGCAAATGATGTGGCAGAGCAAATATGCTAATACGTGTCTGTTTATAAATGGATGAAATACATCTCGGGCTCACATTATTGGCAATGGAAGTCAAGGGCCGAGATTAGAGATGAAAGGAATCAAGGGCTAAGATTGAAGGGAGACTCAATGCTCCCAGATCGTGACACTTGGCGCGATCTGAGTGGTCAGCCGACTTTGGGAAAGTCTATAAATAGAGCTAAAAATGGAAAGGAAAAAGAGACAACTACACAACTACAAGCTGGCAGCTAAAACAAACAAGTAAACACACTTTCCTCTCACTATTCGGCATTCGCCCTCTTTTCCATATCTAACTTAAGCATCGGAGGAGAGATAATCCGTAGGATTATTCTCCTTGTTTTCAGGTATCAAGAAGCCACAATGAGTGAAGGGAGAACCAAGAAGTCTCGGTAGCATCAATCTGACGCCTCACAACCCCCGTTCTACAAATTTTACTGTAAGCTCAAGTCGTGCAACAACACAATTGAACACAAACAATTGTGGCCAATGTAATGCAAACAGTTTCCTTGTCGGTGTCACGTATTTCATCTAATGATTTTCTGTCGTACTTTGAAGAAATTCCTCTTTGGAGCTTTGCGGGATATAACTATTGCCAAACTCATTGTCAATCCTGCAATATTTTATGCACACTTAGTATGTTATCCTTCATGTATATTTAAATTTAAAACTATTATATGAGTTATAATATGAATCAACCTACTTTTGAAGTTGTTTTTTTTTCCATATCTTCGTTGTAAAATATTTTTGTGGAAAACAATGAGTTTGACAGTGTTAATTCACCTGATTACATTGAAGTGTAATTTATATGCATAATATTATCGGGAAAAGTATATATGGAAAACGAACTTACCTCTCCATTCTTTAATTTATCTTTTCAAATTGCATGATAATAATAATGACATGTCCAGAATTATTTGCCTCCAGAAACCTTGAAGTTTCTTCAGCATATCTATCCCATAGAGTGCACTTGATTGTTTTCCTCTTATTTTTTTGTTTTTTCAATTTTTTTTTAAAAAAACATTTATAAGATGCTAATAATTATAGATTCAAAATTGCAATATTAAAAAATTGATCGAATGAAAAATACATACTCTATGTCATTGAGTTCCATGATAAGCTTATTTGAGGCTCTACCGTTTCGTTTAATAGGCTCAAGGCAATCAAGGGGGCCAAATTTGTTTATTTGCGCAGCAATATCTGTTTAAATGAATCATTATACCATAAAAAAGATAATAATATTTTCACAAATTGGATACAATGAGAGACAAATTAGATACAGATATAGATTTAGATAGTGAACAATAGAAAAATTATCATAAAAGGCATCTAGATAAACAAGGGTAAAAATATATTTTAGAATAAATTAATATTATTATTATTAATATTATTATAAAGATGAATGGCCTCCCTAAGTGCATCAACCTATTTACTTGAGGAAGAAGTCGTGAATTCCACCCTAATAAATAGTATTTGTTGCGGTGAATTTGGGTTTGATTGGGAGCGGTTGTTGGTCGGAATTACTAATAATGGCGGCGTATGAAGGAATGAAAGAACCGGTGGAGTCGTTTGTTGATCTGATGGCGGATGAGGTTGGAACGGCATTCAGTTTGGGCACGGTGGGCGGTTTCGCGTACCACTTCGGAAGGGTAATATCTTCGGGGCGGCGTAACTTCAAATTGAGGAGGGCCTTCACGCCCTTCAGGTTGGCGTGCCACAGGGGACCCCAGGTCGGTGGGATTGGCGCTGTGGCTGCCGCTGCAGCAAACGCCTACCAAATTGCAGACATCTCAATTCGTCAGAAGAATAATCTTTACACCATCTTCTTCAGTGCAGCCACTGGGGGTGCTGCTGTCGCGGCTAAACATGGGATTCGACGTGCTTCGCTCTCCGCCCTCTGTTTCGGAACTGGTTTTACCGCCGTCGTGCATTGGTTTGAATTCCTGCGCAAGGAGGAGGATAAACTCAACTATTTGGATGCCAACAGCCTCTCTGCTCCTCGTCATTAGAACCAGAACCAACTCTTTTCTTTCGTATACTAACTTATTGTTTATGTCTCTTAAATTGCATCTTCTTTTAATAAAACAACGGAGCAAGTTTGTATAATTATTGATGTTGATGTTCGTTTATAAATCATACTTTTATACTTTTTTATTATGATGAGTATTGTATTGATTTTAATCCTATCTCTGGTTGGACTCGGTTCTAGAGTTGGAGTTGATGGTTAAGGCCTAAACCAAACTAAAAGGCTTACTATATATATATGTTCAATTTCGTGTCTGTGTTTTACTTTCCCTCTCCAGTTACAGTTGTGAGATTGACTTTTCACGTTTATGTCATGGAATGGTAAGTTGGTAACACTACTACAATCCTCCTAAATAGCGACAGATTAGCTACGATGGTCATATAAAACCGTCGAAATATTTTTGTTAACGACAATGTATAAAGCTGTCGCAATTTACGACGATTTTTGTATTTTTTTACGATGGTATTTTTGTCGTTGAAAATTCTGGATTAGAAATTAAACCAGTTTACGACATAATTTAAAAGTCGTAAATTATATTTAATTTTTTTTAAGAAAAAACAAAAGCTTGCGACATCTAAGAAATGTCACAAAGACCGTAATGGGTTTTTGAATTTTTTTAAAAACAAAGTTTTATTAAAACAACCCTATTCTGCCCTCTTTCAATTCATTCCCCTTTTGAGTGTCACTAGCGCCACGATGAGTGAGGAGCGTGAGGGAAGACGCTCTTTTCCTCGATCCGTCGTTGGGAATTCGATCCTCCACAATCTTCTAGTCGATAATCCTCTTTCATGGTCAATTGTATTTGATTAATTTAATTTTTCATTTTAACCTTGAACCCTAACCGTATGTTTGCTCACCTAAAGCCACCAGAGTGTCGCCCTCCCTAACATCGGTGTGCCGCCTGCCTTCCCTGACACCGGTGAGCGGCCGCGTGAATCTAGAGTGCCAGCTGACTGTAGCCATTCCCGCCGGTTGGAGGTAAAACAAGCTGGGTTAATTTTTTTTACTTAATATTTACTATATTTTTTATCAAAATTGGACTTAATCCAAGCTAGTAAAATGTAATAAAAATTGACCAAGTAAATCGACCTTAACAAAATACATTTTACTTCAATTGGGCTGGACCCATAACAACCTGATGGATGCTGGTGAGCTAAGTTGCACCGATACGGACACAGACATGGACACGAGTACGATACGGACACGGGAAAACAGCAATCCTAAAATAGGGGACACAGGTACGGAAAATAACAAGACAAATAATATATAAAAAAAAAACGAGATTTTGACAACCTATTCAACAAAACACTAAATTATTGACCTTAAAACAAGTCATTTACCGTAGCTAAATAATATTCTCCTAATTCACATGCAATAATGTGCTATGAAATGTGTTTTGAAGGCGCTCATATTATAACTCTTACCTTTTTCTTTCATACTTTACCTTAACTTTATAATTAAAAAAGTTAAAAAGATGAGGTGACATATTAAAATACTAACCGGGTCGTATCATAGTAGGATACGATTCGTCTCAAAGTATCTAAATATATTAAAAAACGGGAAGCAGTTTTTATGTGCGTCCGTCGTGTGTCGAACGAGTGTCGGTCCGTGCATCCTAGCTGGTGAGTGAATAGTTCAGTTTTTATTTCTTATCTACTTTTTATAAGTCATGCTTGAAATATATATAACGCCTATTTCATCAAATGCTACTGAGCAATTGCGAAATTCACCAAATGCCATCCGACTTTTCAAAATTCACCAAATGCCACCGAGTTTTAATAAAATTCAACGAGTGCCATTAATGACTGACATCCGTTAGTGGACCCCACCACTTGACACGTGTCACCTTCTGATTGGTCCGTTTTTTAAAATAAAAAAAATTAAAAACAACTAAAAATAATTAAAAAAAATTTAAAAATTAAAAAAAAAAGGCAGCCAAAAGCCCAGCCACCACCCCTCCCTACCACCGAACACCAATCCCTTGTCGCCGGCGATCTGCTCCCTCACCGGCAGGCGTGCCGGCGGCGGCCGCCAACCCCCCTCCCATTCCCTGTCGCGATCCACCCACCCTACTACCATCGCACAAGCAACAGCTCAGCCACCACCACCCCTAAACACCTTCCCCTGCCACCGTTTCTTATCCCTGAAACCAACCCAAACTTACCCCAAATCTGGCGACAGTGAGATTTTCGAGGGTGAGGGTTCCGTTAGTCGGGGTTTCGGCTTTCAAAGAAGAGGGTTGCGTGGGTGGTTTGGTCGGGGTTTCGTGGGAGTGGCCGAAAATCGAAAGGATTGGGGGATTTCGCGGGTTTGGGGGTCGCGACGGCATAGGGGAGGGGAAGGGGAGGGGTCGTCGGCGGCCGGCGCGCCTTCCGGTGCTAGCCCCGGTGGCAGGGGGTGGTGGTGGCTAGGGTTTTGGGGTGGGCAGTCAGGGAGGAGGTGGTGGTGGCTAGGGTTTTGGGGTGGGCAGTCAGGGAGGAGGTGCATGGTGGCTGCCACCTCTTAAATTTTTTTTTAAAATTTTTTTGTAATTTTTATTTATTTTAATTTTTTTTTACTATTTTTAAAAGTTTTTAATTTTTTTGTTATTTTTTTAATTTTTTAAAAAAATATATATTTTTTAAAAAACGGACCAATCAGAAGGTGACACGTGGCAAGTGGTGGGGTCAACTAACGGACATTGACGGTCAACTAACGGAAATGGCATTTGGTGAATTTTGTTAAAACTTGGTGGCATTTGGTGAATTTTGAAAAGTCGAATGGCATTTGATGAATTTCGCAATTGCTCAGTGGCATTTGGTGAAATAGCCGTATATATAATGACTAATGAGGTTGGGTTTCGATAAATTATACTCCAATTTGCCTTTCTGTTTCAGTAAAGAGACTAAAGATTTGACGGAGAAGGCAAGAGCTAGATTTGACAGGTGCATTAGAGGTCTTGTGTCGCTAGGACTAGGAGACATGGCTCGAGCTTGGGATGATAGCGCTTGATATGTTATTTCCGACTTTACCCTTGGTCTTGGAGGAGAATCTTTCAGCTCTAAGTATGGCACCTGGGAGTGTGTTTCAGTAGTTTGATGAAAATCTAAGTGATATAGTAGGAAAACAAAAGTGAGGAATTCTCATTCTGCTGCTCGGTTGAGGCTATTAGGATATTACTGCCTTGTCCCTATCTTGTGAATTTGCCAATATATATATAAAATAGGACAATTTCAATTTTGCTACCACCAAAAGGCATGCACATCAGTTTTGCTACCTCTCCAATTTTATTTTTATTTTTTTTATTATACTACCACCTAAATCACAGTTGTTAAAAATTGCTACCACTTAACGGAATGGGTTAGGATTCCGTTAAGTTTATTCAAAAAAAAAAAAAAATTAAAATGTTTTTTTTAAAAAATAAAACCCAGCCATCCTCCCCCCTCCTTTTCCTCCACCTTTGCAGCCCACCACCCTCAACTGCCCAGCCACCCTCCCCCCTGCCGGCGACCGGCGCCCAACGCTTAGGCCGGCGCCGGCGACCCCACCCCAATTCCTTTCCCCACCAACGCAACCCACCCCCCCTCCCTTATCCCTTTCTCGCTGCCCCAACACCCACCCGAAACCGGAAAACACCCTCCCTCCCCATCCCCCCCAACGGAATCGGCCCCCCCTCCCCTTCCCCCACCCTGAATCGACCCCACCTCTCCTTCCCCCACCCAAATACCGGCACCCCTAACCCATAAACACCACCCCTAAACCACCATAAGCGAAATCCTAAAACCCATTTGGTTTTGGGCTGGTGTTTATGGGTTAGAGATGCGGTTTTTGGGTGAGGTTTCGGGCTGGAGAAGGGGAGGTGGTGGGTTTTTGGCGATTGCAATCGATCATAGAAAATTGTAGCTGGTGAATTGAATTTTTCTGGAAACAGGAAGAGATTTGAGCTGAATTTTCTCGAGGATTTGGAAGAATTTTAAGATGGGGGTTGGCGATTTGGCAGAATTCGGAAATTCGAAGTCAGCAAATCTTGAATTCTCTTTCACCTTTGTTCGATTTATCTCCGAGAACATGTACAATAGGAAGGGGTGGGCTTTTGGCGATGGCTAGGTAGGGAGGTGGTTTCGGTGGTGGGCTAGGGGAGGGAGGGTGGACGAAATTCGGGGAGGAAAAGGGATGGGGTAGCCGGAATCCGGGTGGGGAATGGAGGGGATCGCCGGAAATGGGGTGGGGAATGTAGGGGATGGCCGAAATCGGGAAGGGAAGGGATTTGGTGGCCGGAATGGGGTAGGGGGAGGGTGGTAGGGGCTGCCGGAAATCTGGGTTATTGTTTTTTTTTTTTAATTTAATTTAATTTACTTTTTTTTAATTAAACTAACAGAAGTCTAACCCATTCCGTTAAATGGTAGCAATTTTTAACAACTGTGATTTAGGTGGTAGTATAATAAAAAAAAAAATTGGAGGGGTAGCAAAACTGAGGTGCCTGCCTTTTGGTGGTAGCAAAATTGAAATTGTCCTATAAAATACTTTATGGTAAATACATATAATAAGGTCTTGTAAAAAAAATTACATATAATAAGGTATCTTCGTCACTTTGCTTTTAAATAAACCTATGACATACATTACTTTTGAAATTAACTACATTACTATTTGACATTCGGCAAAGCATTGTTTAAGAGTAGTAATTAGAGATTGACATACGAACTTTCTTATTCGGGTTACAATAAAATCGAAAAATGTGAACGTCTCGATGTTAGGACGTCTTAGATACTAACCTCAAAACTTAAACCAAGCTTAGTAGCGTCCTTGAATAAAATACAAAGTAAATGAGAATGAGATATACAAGTAGTTTAAATACGACTCTGCTTTTTATAACCCCTTCCCCCCAATTTCTTCTTACAGTTCCCGGCACTTCATCTTCCTTCTTCTAGTGAGAGATTGACGTTCTCCTTTGCTAACTAGTAATGTATTCTTTCTCTAAACTCCATTGTTACCCTGCACCCAAGC